AAAGAATTTTGTAATATGCTTTCTATATCCTTTTACATTCTGTAAAATCTGTGGCAATGTCTCCTAGATCTTGATATTGTAATTTTAAAAATGTATATTTCATATTGTGTAACAGGAAATAAAGGTCTAAAGGAGCAGGGGAAGTGGGGGGAGTAGGGGAAAGGAAAGAAGCGAAAGGAAAAAATATGAGAAAAGGAAAAAAATGGAAATGAAGTCGTTGCAAATAGGGAAGGGTGGAGGGGGTGAAGGGAGGGCAGGGGAAGGGGAAAAAATAAGAACCAAGATACCCACATAATGGTACAAGATCCCAATAACGAATGTGAGTGTATTGTATACCGAAAATGTACCAATAAACTTAATGGGAGGGGGAGAATGTTTTCTGAATAAACAAGCACACAGATTGCTTTGGCAATGCACCTTACAGGCAGAAGCACAGGTTTTCTTTGCTATCAACCCTATAACTGAAAATCACTTTCTGCAGTAAAGTCCAAAAATTACATAGCACCATAGCTTGAAAACCACAGATCAATGCATTAGAGACCCTGGTCGAGCTCAGACCCCTGTGCAGCCCAGGGTACCCTCTGCTTCCGAGTTCGTGGATGCTGCACTCAAGAGCCTGTGCCATCGGTGATAGACATGGGGCAGCTGATGGGGGTGCTGCCTGGGCTGCCTGTGTCCCGTGGGTGCCCAGGTCTGGAGTAGGTGTCCAGAGTCAATGGAAACCTTCCGGTTCCCAGCCTGCTGGTAGCTTTCCACACCTCCCTCCTGCCCTAGTTTTTCAGGAATTGCTCCTGCTTCAATGTAAAATATGTGCTGCCTCAATAAGCATAAAAATAGCAATGGTATTTGCAAGTTTGTCTACTGACATGTTGTTTCAGGTATGTTTTTAGCTAATTTTTTCCCAGTTAATGAGACTAGCTTAGGAACTTGATGTGATACCATCAGTTGTTTTTATTAGTATAAAATCATCTTGCTTCTGTAAATACATGATTGAACTTAAACTTTATGAAGAACAAAGTAAGTCCTCATGCATATTTTGTATGGGGCACTCTATAAATTCACTGGACCTACCCATTCCTTCTCATTTAGCCACACAAGTTGTGACTTTAAACATTTGCAACTGAGTTCCTTTTCATGCCAGTTTGTCTGTGACTGGCTCCATTCCGGGGTGTGTGTGTGTGTGTGTATAACTGTGTGATTTTTCTACTATGCCAATCAAGTTGATGTCAATTTGGAACTTTCTTAATTTGGCTAATTTTAGACTAGAATTTTTTTTTTTTTTTTGTACCAGGGATCGAACTTGGGACCTTCTGCTTGTGAAGCAGGTGGCGGCACTACTGAGCTAAATCCCCAGCCCTAGACTAGACTTTAACTAGTGGGAAACACCGGCTCTCTAGCAGAGAGCTACAGCATAGGTGTGTGAATTCTCACTAAATGCGGCTGCTGTGGTTTATTTCTAGATGTCCCTAAAGCCTCTTGCACTTATAGATGAGGTTGTGGGGAGGTAATTGGGTCGGTGGGGCAGGACACTCATCCCTGGACCAGACCACAGATGAGTTCATAGCTGAATGTGATTTGGGAGGTGGAGGCAGATCAGAGGAGGTGGTCACTGGGCTCCCTTGAGGGCTTTCTCTCTCTGCTTCCCGCTGCCATGACAGGAGCCAGGCCCCTCTGCTACGCCACCCTGCCTTGGAGCCAGCTGACTGTGAACAGAAACCTCTGTGAGCGCTGACCCAAAATAAACCTCTCCCCCTTACAGTTGTGGCCGTCAGGTCTAGCATCCCAGTAATGAGGACGTGACTAAGACACTAGCCCAACAATCCTGTCCTTCAGCCAGGAAACTTTCCAGGCTACATAGTTGACTGCAGGCCACCTGTCTCGCTCTCAGCTTTTCTCTGCTTTAACCCACTAAGCACAGTGACGTGCAAATGGAGCCCCTGTTCTGGAAAGCTTTTCCAAGTCCAGAGAACTCCCTCCAACCCGGCTGGCTTGGTGACTGGGTGGCGGAAGCCTGGGGTAAACGCGTGCTGCTGACTCACTTTGGAATTTCAGCGTATCCGTGAACTCTGAAACCAAAGGGAGGAAGGAAGCACAGAGAAAGCAGAAGCAAACAACGTCACCGATCAATCCTCTATGACCTGGAGGCTCTGGAGGGCGGTATGTGCTGGGGGCCAGGAGGCCCTGGAGAGTCACGGGGTGGGAAGCAGCCAGGGCTGGTACGATGGCACGGCCGGTCTCCAGGAATGGGGAGAGTCACAGGAACAGCCACAAACTGAGGAACGATGTTCTCCATGTTGTCCGAAGAGCACGCTTCTCCGTCCCGAGATGTCACTGCGCCCTCTGTACCCACACTGTGGTGTGAACGTGACCAGAGAAGATAGGGGATGTTGAAGGGCACTGTCCTGGGCCATCGAACCCTCTCCTGAACCCGCCCTCCACATGGGACACAGACAAGACAAAGCGGACGTACCGATCTTCCCTCTTGGAACCCAGTGTTGCCTCTTCCCATTCCCAATTCCGTTGGCCTGGAAATAGCTTTCGTAGCCAGAGAAACTATCAGTATGTGCTTTCAGTTGTGATGATTAGGAACCTAGGGTCCATTACCCTGGCGAATTGGATCATTAGGTGGTACATTCATGTTTATGCTGCCCTAAGAGGCCTACACTGCTGGCCCGCAAGGCAGGGGTGCTTCCCTTCATCTGCCAGGGGAGAGCCAGAGGATTCGGCCAAAATCAAAGGCCTGGGATGCACTGCAGTCCCGTGGGAGTCTGTATCTGGAAGCCAGAGGGTCTGCACTGTGAGGCTGAGGGGTCTGCCCTGGAAGCCTGGAGACTGATGGCCAGAGGTGATGGCAAAGACCTGAGCGCCTCTGAAGAAGCACAAGCGAGACTTCCTCCTCCTTTCCTGTTCATTCCATCCTGCTACAAGGCCATTGGTTGGTGCCGCCCACACTCAGGATGGTCTTCTGTCTTCAGTGAGTCTGTCATCCAGACACAGCCAGAACTGTGCAGAATCACTGAGCTAAATCCCTGGTCCGGCTGGGTGTTTCTTATTCAGATTGACACCGCAGTGAACTATCACAGCCATGAAAGAAAAAATCAGGTTGCACTTTATTAAAAGTAAAAATTTCTGCTTCACCAAAGACACTTAAGAGAATCAAAAGTCCAGCCACAGACTGAGAGAAACTCTTTGCAAAAGCCCGTCTGGCAAAATACACAAAAACATGAACCTCAGCAATCAGAAAGCAAACAACTCACTGAAGACATAGCAGTTCACTGGGACAGATGGCACCCAAAACTGGGATGGGAGACAGCCCTGAATCAGAAGGAATTACAACCGAAGCACAGTTGGAGCCTACCTTTCAGAATGGCCAGCAGGAGACAAATGACAGTCTAACTCCTCCTGGGTGCTGAGCAGCTGCAACCCTGGTCATGCTGGAGGAAGGCCGAGGAGACCCTTGCTTTGGGCAATTTCCATGGTCTTATGCCACTGCTGAACATGCCCCCGATGCACCCCGAGCACGGGGCTCCTGGGTGTTCCTTCAGCTTCCCTGAATGTGCACAATGAAAGCCAGTCAGTGCACCTGGCAAACCAAAGAGAAATATGACTTCTTCTGTCCCTTTGTGTCCCTTGCTGGTCCTGTGGATTGAACCAGAGTCTTTGCTCTGTGCCATAGCCCCAGCCCTTTCGTCCATTTTAAATTTTTATTTTTATTTTTTATATGAGCCAGCATCTCTCTAAGTCACTAAGCTGCCCAGACTGGGCTCAAACTTGCCATCCTCTTGCCTCTGGGATTACAGGAATGCTCCACAGTGCCTGGATTATTCTGGCTTTTTTTGGTATGAAATTTACTTGTAGGTAGTGAACAAGTAGATTAGGCATAGAGTCTCATTATCAACATGACCCAACTGATTAATGGCAAAGAAATCGTAGAATTATATGATTACTCTTTTGCAACAGCAAAAAGCTTATGGATATAGAGCTCTGGCATCAGCATCTGCACACATCAACAACGCAGGACGTACAGTCTTGTTGTTAGGGGACCCAAGTGGATGGGGCCTCTGGAATCCTCTGCTAACATGCGGTGCCACACAGAGAATAGGAATATTCTGATGCAAGATGCATGTGGCATCCACAAACCCTGATCACATTTTAGGTAACAGGAGCCATAGTGCTGTTTCCCCTGTGGTATTGAAATGATGATTTAAAGGCATCATTTGTTGTAATGACAGTGGCCAGGAACACATTTTTCCTATGTGATGTTCATCTATTAGCAACACTAATTTACATGCATTGACCTTCAGATCATGGAGACGGTGACTTTCCCTGTGTCAAATGATCAGAGCATCTAGACACATGCTCTAGGAGCTACATAGATTTCTTATCCAGGGAAGTAGATTCGCTGCCCTTGAAGTGAGGTTAGATACAACAAATAAGTGTCCAGAAAGGACTAGGAAAGCAACAATGGCCCTTCTTTGTCTATTTTTTTTTTTGGTACCTGGTATCGAACTTGGGTCCTTGTGTTGTGGGGCAGGAGGTGGAACTGCTGAGCTAAATCCCCGGTTGGCCCTTCTTTGTCTAAAAAATGCTTTAATTTAAAAATTGACAGATGGCACTGCAAGTATTTACTGTGTGCAACACATTTTGAAGCATGTGGCCCATGCAGGGGTTAAATCTGGTTCATTAGCAAATGCACTGGGGCTCCGGGTGAAGTAGGGCATTTGCCTAGCATGTGTGGAACCCTGGGAGACATCCCTGCCACTGAGAAACACCGAGCAGTAAAGAAAACAAAACAAGTGTGTAGCAAGAGCATGTTGTGCTGAGAGCACGGAATCGGGAGCCGACTGCTCCCCTCAGGTGCAGCTATACAGCCTGCAACGTCTGGTTTCACTGTAGCACCAGGTCCCAAGGAGAGACTGGCACTGACCAACATGGCACAATCCTCCTAGTCCAAAGTCTGGAACTAGTCTGGGTAGGTGACCAAATTTCCTGCTGTGGCTGAATATTAACCTTGATGTGGACTCAGGTTGGAAGGCATGAAAGTACTTAAATATCGAAGAGATGACTGCACGGCATTTGAGAAGTTCTTGCTACAGAGCAGCGAGGCACTGCTGGTGACCTGGCTTCAGGTTTTCAGCTGAAGCCGCAGTGAAACCCTTCACCTCAGGAGAAGCCACCCCAAGAGGCAGTAGCCAGCCTTCCTACCTGAGAATGACGGGTAGGGCCTGACGCAGGTGCCGGGCCGGGTGGGATCTGGTTGCCCTGTCCCTGCAAAGTGTGGCCTGGGCATAGCCAGTCTCAATGACCAGGGGCCTGAGGACCATGTGCTGGCAATGCTGATAGCCCCAGTGTCCCTGACGGGTTAGTTTTGGGGGGCCTTGCTCTGGAGCACAGGAGAAACCTTGAGTGAGTGACAGTCCAGGCTGCTGTCTACGTAGACAAGGCCCGCTTGTTGACAAAAGTTAAAAACAACAGGAACAAGCAGAGTTTGAAATCCTCTGAGGCTGAGCACCTTGGCTGTGAAGGGGGAGGACCACGGCTAAAAATTCATTGGTCTTAAACGTAAGATAATGCCAGCACTCCTATGGGGATTCAAAAGCCACCTGTTTGTCTTTCCAGCTCCGTCCGGGTTGAGCATTATAACTTTCTGGACCACAAATTCCTTATCTGCAGCCAGCGGCTGAGTGGCAATCTCTTGCCTAACTTTGATAAAAATGAGGAAATTACGTTTCTAGCTCTGGGCCCTGTGCATAATGGGCAACAGCTAGTGGCCTGCATTAAGGATACTTCATTTGGTGACTCAGCCTTCAGTGCAGCTGACAGACACAGGCTCAGCCCAAGATGAGATGAATGGTCTCAGCACCTTTGTAAATGAGTAACGAGTCCAGGGAGGTCAGGCGAGGGCTGACAAGGAGCCAGCCAGCACGGAGAAAGTTCGGCACACTCCCTTAGTGAAGTTAAATATATTTGAGTTCCAGGGCCAACGTCATTTAGAGAGCAACACGGCTTGTTTAAGTAAATAACCGCTTCCTTCTTGTCGCAGATGTGTGGAGACTGGCCATATCTGTGCTCATGGCAAATGTTCTCAGGGATCAGGTCGGGAGCTATGGGCCACCAGGGCCGCCAGCACCAAGGGGGCTTCCAGGACCTCAGGGGCCTCCAGGACAGTCAGGCCCACGTGGTGAGGAGACCTTTTCTTCTGCTGCTTCCTTCCCTTCCCTTGACCTTGGGTGCATGACAATCTCCCTGTGATTAGTAGCCAGACAAGACAGAGTCTCAGGGTGGAAATCTAGAGCCAGCACGATGGAGTGCTTGGCAGCTCGAGCCCGCAGTCCTATGAGAGATCCTGGAAAGGTGGTGGCTAGCAAAGCCAGCAGGTGCCTGGGAGACTCGAGTCACCTGTGTGGGATCCTGCATCAGGATGGGCTTTCCAGTGGGGAGAGAGAATGAGCTATCAGGACCCGAGCCGCATCACGCCGTGTGAAGACGTGCGCCTGGGTGACAGAGACCGAGCCAAGTCCAGAGGCCGTGGACACTGGTGCTGGCTGAGCCCCAGCAGGCTGGTGTTCTGGATGCAACCCAGATCCACCCACGCTGGCACAGCTCCTGAGGGGCTGTTTGTCACTGCCAGGCAGAACCCGGGTTCTCCCAGGGTTGGCCCTACACAAATGCAATCCCAGGCTGTGCTGGGGCCACTGGAGGGGAGAGGGCATCCTGAGCCAAGCTCTGGGCAGAAGGCAGAGGCTCCTGCAGACCACTGTCAGCACTGAATATCCATGGGGCGCTGTGCCAGGATCAAAGCGACTCAGGTTGCTGCTCCCCAGGGCTTCACTTGTCCTCAGAGAAAGAGACCCGTCCTGACTTCAAGGCCAGTGTTGCTAAGCACATGGCAGCCATTCAAGAGGTGAGGGGACAAAAGCGCAGTACAGTGTGAGCCTGTCGCCCTGTCCTTTTAGGGCTGCGTTTGCCTAAAATCCTCCAGGCAGCAAGGGTCATAATCCCAAAGTTAGGGGCCTGGTAACAGTCCTGACGGCTCATAATCCGCAACGTTAACCATCTCAGGAGCAGATCACTGAGAGCAGGTCACTGTGTAGCTTTGTCCTTGCATAGACACAGCCTCAGAAATGCTAAGGAATTTGACTAGGAGAACACTGGTACTAAGTGATGCAACAGTACCTGCACTATTACTTCACAAGCCAGAAGTTCCTCCTCTTAGTCAAGGTAGTGCTTAACCCTGTAGGAGGGTGCTGTGAATTAGCATAATCCTTCTGGTTGGGGGAGAGCTTGTTGGGACAAGAGTGAGGGAGAACCTTGGACAGGATGAGGGTGGCCAGTGGGGAGCAGGAGAGCTGAACTCTGAACTCTGTATGACAAGAACAGCCTCGGGTGCTCAGCACCACCCAGAATGGCGTAGCAGGCTTTGCAACTTCTGCTCCAGGGAAGAGGACACATACAGACCCAGCAGTGTCAGGCAAAGGAGCAAGTATTGGCTTCCCAGCACACTGTACTGAGAGCTCCGACAGCACAGGTAGAAGCTTGAATCAGGATTGGAACTCGGAAATATCAGGGTGTGGACAGGACAACTCAGTGTGGTGTCTCCAAGTTCAGTACGTGTACCCATCACAGGACGAACACTTTCGGGAGGAGATGGTGCTTCCACTCAGCACCAGCTTCTCGCTGAGAATCCTGTTTCTCCCAGGTGCCACGGGTCTTCCTGGTACCACTGAGAAATGCCACTGCAAAGAAAGGTCAGCCTTCGCCATGAAGCTCAGCGGAAAGCTTCCTCCAGCTTCTGGGCCAGTCCTCTTCACAGAGGCCCTGTGCAATGTCCAGAGGGGCTTCGAGGAGGCCACCGGAGTCTTCACCTGCAGGGAGGCTGGGCATCACTACTTCAGCTTTGGCGTGGAGCTTCGTCACTGCCAGGTCAAGGTGAGGCTGATGAGAAACCACAGCCGAGTCTTGGAAAAGCATCAGCTCTCTAGAGACGACTATGGTGACCTTTCCGGTGCTGTCATTCTGCCGCTGCGACAGGGGGACAAGGTGTGGCTGGAAGCAGAAGTTGTAATTGAGGAACTGGAGCAAGCACACGTCTTTATCTATTTCTCAGGTTTTCTGACTTTGTCCTGAAACTCTGAGCCTTGTGTGACTGATTCTCCACCCTGAAAGGGAATAAATCTGGTATCTAGCTTTTCACATCTTGGATTCATTTCTTTCAGAGATAAAATTGTATGAAATCAGGTATATTTGCTCTCATTAAAGCTGGGCCTTGGAGGTGGTATCCAAACAACACCTTCACAATCAAGGCCATTCCTCTTTACGGTACCCAGACCAGAACCCAGGACCCAACCACAGATCCTAGGAAAATGACTCAGTGCGCTCTCTGCACCTGCCTTCATGCACTTCATCCTCTTTCCGGGTTTCCAGGTGCTCAGTGGCCTTGCTTTCTGGCTTTGTTCCTCAGGAATGATTTTCTGTTACTTACTTGTGGTCTCTGTCGAGGCTATTTGCACTGCTCTGCCTTTCTCTTTCCAGTAACAGAGGGCTAATGAACATCAGGGACATGAGTGAACATCATTTAATACATTGCCTTAGACATGGTGACAACAGTCAGCACGACAGACCTGCCCACTGCTGTCAGAGCCTTAGCACAGTGTGCATGGGCTCACAGGAGTTTCTGACCCAAAAGTGAACCCACTTCAAGAGGTGGGAGGATTGAGATCCTTCCTTGTGTACATGCGAGTCTCATTCAACATGTGCTTCGAAGGTCTCCAAGTTCAAAGTAGCTCAGGGTAAAGGGGCACAGATGCTGAGACAAGGGAGGAGTCTATGAGGAAGCATTGTCAGCCGGTCATGTAACACAGCCCCTACCACATGGGCCACAGGTCCACTGTCTTGGCCTTACTAGCTCCAAGGTTTACACTGGAAAGCAAGATAAAGAGCTGTCCTGACAGCTAACCAGCCTCCAGAGATACAGGTAGACGTGGACACAGAGGAGATGATATCCATAGCCATGGAGACGGGCACAGAGATACTGTAGAGATAAAACAGAGAGATAGGTATAGAGAGACAGACAGGCATAGACATACACATAGAGATGGGGAGAGATAATGGAGATGGACACAGAGGCAGACTACAGAGATGATACAGACAGAGCCAGGCAAGGAGATCAGCATGGACAGAGATGCACACAGAGCCAG